CGAAGTTATAAGTGTTACCAGAAGATGAACATCACTTGTGTCTATGTGATGATGTATCTGATGGTCAAGGGGTAACCGTAAGGACTATGCACCATGACCAAATGGCGATTGGAGCAAGAATGTGTCCTAGTTTCTCCTAGTTGTTGTTAGTTGACATGCTAAGCCAGTATTTATAGCTGAGTGGATTTTGGAAGGTGAACGATCTGATTGGTTGTTGCCGTTCATTCTTGGTAGTGGATCTACAGCTGCTGGTTACATTTTTATGAAAGTGAGAAATCTACAGTCAAGTTGTTAAAAGCTAGGAAAAGTTAAAATTCTTAGGATATGTATATTTGTTCAGCATTTGTTAGTGCATATTGACGAGGAAATAGGTGAGAGAACAATCTTAGCTATGATATGCTTCTGGATTCCCGTGTTAATGTCTACGTTTATTTATGCATACCAGTATCTGTAGTGCGACTTGTCAAGTAACTTGATGTGTTAAGCACTTGATTTCATCTTTGAAAGGGGTTGAACAATGCGAAGTGTGTTTCATCGCTCTTCAGCTCAGTGCTTCTGCTTTTTTCTAGATGAGTTTCCACTGCTAGCTTAGGTGTTGTTATCAGCTCCCCTTCGTTGCCGAAAAGTGTCGTAGCCAAGGGTACATTGATAATCTATGCTAGGAATTTCTGCATTCACTTCTGTTTGAGCCTTGTTAAGTTTTGACTGCTTAGGATTTCCGTAATAAGTCTAAGTCCATGTAGAATAGGTAGATTTAAATAAGGCTGAATAATAATCTGACATTTATTAACTGGTATTTTAACTGCAGGTAAAATGTGAAACAGTAGTCCTTATATTCAGTCTAGTCATCGATATGACATAAGTATAGATCTATAAGGTCCATGACTCTTCAAATTCTTCTGAATCAGTTGTATTGCCGCCGTTATAACACTTCATAGTTTGAGTTAAATGGAGGTGTAAGGTGTGGAGTAACCAATCTCCACATGACGAATGTGTACAGACAGATGGATATTAATTAAGTTGTCTTATCTCCAACACATGCACGTGTGATATCCGGCTACTCATAAAACCAGTGTTAAGTGTGCATATGTTCGCTGTGAGGCTAAAGGAGTAGTGTTTGTACTTGTATGTGTTTCTATAAATGTCCACGTGAGATACAGTGATATACTAAGTAACGACGAGACTCGGCTGACTGATTGAGCTTTCCACCCACAATTTTGTAGAGAGATTTGTGAAGTTGAAGTTGCCTCATTTTATAGCTCATTGAAAGTGAAGATTTAGAGAAAGTATAATGGAGATAAATGTACGGGAGACTGAATGAGCATGTAAAGTTTAATGAGTTTGATGGTTCTAGTAGTTTATAAAGAGTGGATACTTTTGCGTTTTTGAAGAATATTTTGAGCCATTTGATGAGTCAAGTAAGTTGAGGGAGGCAGGTCAACTACTTGTAATGTCCTTCTGCACTTGTGTTACATCCACTGAGCAACTGCATTCCTCGATGAGCGATGTGTACGGAAGAAGAGTAGTTTGCTTCAGAGTTGTGTGTATGGTGAAGCCGATGTATTGCACCAGTGCAAGCATCCAGTCATTCACTGTTAGTTTGAGTGAAGAAGGATGTGTGGACTACCTGGCTTGGACGTTGAAGTTGCTACGAGTCAGACTCTAGAGATTCTGTGGTGTGGGTTAATATTGTTCACGATGACTGCAAAGTGTGTATACCTTGAGGTTGTGAGAATGCAGTTTTTGTCGTTGCCGTAACTCTTTGTTCATAATTTTTTGTCTACACTGGTTTCTGCTTTTCCGAAATGTGTTTGTAGTCATGCCCAAGTGAGTCCTCAGTCACCCAGATGACATAGATCTGTTTGATAGAGATGTGGACAACTGCAGTCTTCTTGACATTTTGGTTAAATATGAACAACCTTGGGGGATGTGTTGACACTTACTAAGCCTTCAGGTGTTTGACGTTTACTGTCTGTTGAACCCACAAGATGATCGACTTATAGGAGATGAATGGCGAATAGGTAAAAGGAATAATCCAGTGGAGAAAATTATGTCCGAGGTGGGTAGGATGTAGGTTGTGCTTACACTTACTAACCTCTGCGTGAAGTGTTAATGCAATTGGATTCAACTACAAATAGTTGTGTAATTTGTAAGGTGTTGGAATCAGCAGTGGTTGAAAGATTAAAAGCTGTTCAGCAGTCACAGATTTTGGAACATGCAATAGACTAAAAGCCGAAACTAGGTTGTTTTGAAGGTCTAATCCTTTGGTAGTTTCATAAATACAGAAATACTCAACTACATGTGATTTTGTCGGATTTCCCCACCTGTTTTAAACATTTGACTTGTCCAATCGATAAGTATTGTGACTAAGTAACAATAAAATTGGTTCTGAGAATGTTTGTTTGGGTAGTGATGTATAGACTCTAGTGGAACTGGTGCAGCCAGTTGTATTAGAGGTTGTGTAAACTTGTTGTCTAAAGTACTCACTGTCGCTGTTAATGTTTGATGTGAGGGATTGACTTGGTAGGAGATGGTTTCTATTTAGTGGACTTTCATTAGATTGTTGGTTTGGCTGGAAAGGCTTGGAGAAGGTATTGTCCTCCACGCCACTGAACGAGTGTGTGAGTGAGTTTGGTGTGTGCTTCTATCTTGTGAAATATAAAGTGATGTTGGAGGACTGGATTTCACGACTCCTGTTTCAAGGATGTGGAGTGAAGTGGCAAAACGTGTTGCTCGTTAGGTTTTGGTGAATTCTGTGGACAAGTCTGTAGACCTTTGGTTTATGCTTATTGTCGATGTCATTGACTATTTCAGATGAAGTATGTAGCAGCTCTCTGTGAATGAGCCAGTAGACATCCTTTTGAATTGGTTGATATTCGTGTTTGTTGGTTGAGTATTGTTTCGTTGCTCTTACTTGTCATTCCTCCACCTCGAATGAATGAATAAACCATATGTGCATATCTGCAATGGAAGCCATTATGTCCGGAGCAGGAATTTCAGTACATTTGGCATACTTTCTTCTCCTGTCAAATTTAGTCTCTTGCTACAGAACTTATCTGTGCCAACCTCTAGTCTAAGGATAGAGACTTGAAATAATTGATCGTGTTGACCATTTCACTTATTTGTAAAGTTGCATCAGCCGTGATTGACTGATTAACTTCTTGAGGAAGTCTCATCATGGATACAGTACTTCACAGCAGTTCGCTGTATCCTTCTTAATGACTTTGAGGCATAGCCATTTAAAGTAAAAGTGGACGTTTTACGCATAAGAATGGGACATGGACAGTGTGCTAATTGTACGACAGATTATCATGTCTGCTTTAAGTTACACGACAGATGTCTTTGATCATAGGTGCTTGCGTGTGGCGACTTGAACTGCCGCACATTTGTGCAAAGTTCTATGTCGATGACAGACAGACACGACAGATGGTGTTGCCTATTGACGACTTTGTGTGTAAAGTTTATGGTTCATAGTCACGTGTTGAGGTGTGAACTTAATATGGTCTTGAAATATTTTCGTTGTGAGTCACTCACTACTGCATGATATCCGTGCAAACGTCCTCATAGTTGTATTGTTTTGCCGCTTTCAGATGATCCAGTTACATCATGTCGCCAGGTGACTTCAGATGACAATAGTCATCCACTCTTGATCAAACCGGAACCTTTTGATTCATTGGAAGCCAACGCACAGTATAATATCGACTCGTGTCACAACAGTACTCGAACAACTAGTTTTACAGCTACTCATGACGGTGGCCATGTGAACAACTTTGTAAACCAAGTGTCAGTCATTCGTGAGAACACTTTCCTAGTTGACACTGTCTCCAGCTGTCAGTCGACCAACAATTCAGATGGTTTGCAGTCATTATTCACTTCCACTGTGACTGGCACAAGTACGTCTTCCGATTCAATCAGTTCAGTACATGATAAGATTTCAAGCCACCCTTGTTCTTCCGCGGCTCAAGTGGCTAGTTCCAGCGTTACTTCGGTAACACCGCTTACTGCTTCATCAAGCAGAGAAAATGTCTTTTCGGGATCTATATCATCTGGGAATGATGTGAATAATTTGTTTTCTCTTCCTCTTCGATTGTCACCTGGTTTTGTTGGTGATTCGAAAATTGAAACTCCTGTGATACGTGAATATATCAACCAGAAGTGTAACAGACTACGATATCCTCTTCAGTTGGCTTGGGAAATGTCGAAATTGTATTCACCATCGAAGTTGCCTGTGATATCGACAGACAAGTCTTCTATTTCGTGTGGTCAGTATAAAAGTTCATTCTGCAACACTCAACAACGGGACCGTGGGTACTTGGAAATAGATGATAGTCATTTCATCAATGTTAATTCTTCCAGTTTACCTGCCAAAACCAGTACTGTAATGGTGCATAGCACAAGTCAACCTCGTACGAAAGCTCAAATGCGTGAAGTAAGCACGATAAACGAGACAATGGAGACAAATCAGAGAAGATTACATCGGAAAATTGTAACAATGAGTGTAGACAATCAGAAGACTGCTTATCGCACATTGGAAATACGGAGGTATCACCTTTTCGGGTGGTAGTCGTGTCTGTAAGTTAGAAGTTGTATGTATTTTTTATTCGCCTTCGTCATAGCTTACATTCTGCTGATTGATGCTTGTGATATGATAGTATAGGTTTAGCGTTGGTTAAAAGCGTGAATCTGGTGAATAGGCTGCATTTCATGCTACTCACTCTTCCATTTTGTTAAATTTGTTTGAATGAAGTTCTCCATCGAAACTAAATTACTGACTTTCAGTAAAATCTCTGTCAAGGCTTATCCTTTGTGTCTGCCATGAAGTAGTAAATGAGGTTGTGTATATAAAAATGAAACTGTTGGCAATTTCAGATTTACAGGTAGTTTGCACTTACATATGTATGGAGGTCTCCACCATTTGGGGGAGGTGGGTATCAGGTTTTGTTTTATTTCTGTTTCTAGAAGACATTTGATTAACCTTGTGAACCTTGTTTCTTTTCAGGATGACGAGGGGATATGCGAATCCTGTAGGTAACTGAATATTTTTACGAATTGTGTGTAACCGATTTGATTTTATTATACGTGTGTAAATTGCTTACACTAGGCTGAAGATAACAGTGATAGAGCTTTCATCCTGGTAGTGTTACGATAATTTGAATGAAACGTGAGGCTTGTTGTTTGGTCATTAAAATGTTGTTGTGGAAAACAGACAGCTGTTGAGTAGTTCACAATATTCAACTAGCTAGACTGTTTTTTCCCATCCAACTTCCATTGCATGTCGATTTTATTATTTTTTTTATTTATTTCTGCTATTTTATGAAGTGTTGGGTTGCAGGGATTCGATTGGACACAAGATTAATGAAGAGCTGACCTCAAAAAAATAAGTAAATATACTTATCAAGCGCATTTATGGCACCTTCATCTCTTCAGATTAGTCTCGGGAAGAGAGGAGAGGAGAAGTCGGTGCAGGCTCCCGCTTGATTATGATTCTCGGCCTTTGTTCTCTCTCCAGTGTTAGGTGGCATAATAGTGTGTGTAATTATCTAGGTTAGGCGTCGAGTACTAGGGAAGGAGTGGAAGTCAATCGACGAGGTTGTGAAGTCACACTGGTTGATATGGTTAGAAAATTTGTTGCGCATGCATAGCCATCGCCTTCTTCGACGGGGGATGTTAGCCGACATAGGATGGATCAGGTTGGAAAAGAGCTAGTGATGAACAAACCAAAACATGGCTTCATCAGTCACTAAAATCCACAACAGTTAGTTCAAGCCACTTAGAGAGGTGTAGACTTCCTGACTGGTTGGGGTCCTCGGGATGGTGAAACCTAGTGGCTGAAGACAATCGGTGATACAGCTCAAAAGCCTTCTCATTAGTTGGCGGAGATGCATTCACTCTTTGTCACTTATCGTATTCAGTAAAACTCTATTGTTCTTCCATATTTCTACACTTTTTGCCTCACAATTCTGTTTATCATCTCTCTTTAGAATCTCTCCTTACTCTCTTCTTTTGCTTTGTGTGCTGCATCGAGGAAGAGTGACAACTCGAACTGATGCAAATCTGTGCAAAGTCCTACGTTGAGACCAGTCATTCAGTGAGATTATCGGATTTAAGTGATAAGGTGTGGAGTCGATGACTGGAATCCTCTCGAATCCCGCCTAGGTAGTTGTGATCCACCAGGGGCTGCTAATGCAATGCAACTATCTTTCATCTTATAGGATCACATTGTAAACTGAGTCGGCCTTCATTTTTTCCACCCTGTCATAGTGATAACTAGGAAACAGTAAAAGGGAATTGGATCCTCTAGGTTGACATTCGTGTAGCACGTGTCCAAGCCATCGAAGCTGATGCGCTAAGATAACAACACTTATTGAAAGACTATCTCAACTATGAACAAACACGTCGCTGTACCTTAGAATTAATCACATGATGATAACACTGGATCCAGGGATTTCTACTCAGGTGGCGATGTTCATTAACACATGGTCTTCATATATGCCTAGCTCAAAGGTGTTATGTTTCACGGACGTTAGGCAAGACTTACACTTACCGAAGAATTGTACTGCTGACCTTTCAAAGTCAGAGTATTGTTGAGACGGCGCCAGAACTGGCACGGTTTGTCATATGCCGCTTTCACTGTTTGGTTATGGGCCTGATCTGTGACAACTCTACCAGGACTCACACATTCACCTAGATATACGAATTTGTTGTCTGTCTGTCTGTTTTCGACATAGAACATTGCACAAATGTGCGGAAGTTCAAGTCCCCACACTCCGTGTAGCACGCGAAGCAAGAGAAGAAAGTACAAGAAAAGCACAATAGAGACAGTAAGCAGAGGTGTGAGACAAAGGAGTAATAACGAAGAACAAAACAGTTTCATTGGAGATCATAAATCACAAGGAGTGGATGCATCTGCGCTGTCACTGAGAACGATTTTGAGCCATGTCACCAATTGTTTCCAACCATTTGTTTTTACCGTCCCGAGGACCCCAGTCTGGAAGTCTACACCTTCCTACGTGGCTTAGACCAACTGTTGTGGATTTCATTGACTGGTGCCAAGTTTTTGTTTGACCACCGCTAGCTTTTTTCTAGCCTGACACTATATCCGCTAACATTGCTCGTCGAGGGAGGCGATGACGAATTTGTTGACTACCTCTAACACACCACTTGTGAGAGTGAGTGGAGGTACAAGCTCTTGCTAATCTGGCAACAATAATGTATACTTAAATGGCTTAGAGCACATACCATACTGTCTCCATACTTCAGGTCAGGAAGTCTTTCAAAAGCAACAGAGCCGCATCACTGTCACAAACATACACACTTCAGATCTGTCTTCAGAATTTTATCCTTGATTGGAACCCATCAGTGCATAGGCAGCAATGACAAATAAACAGCTCTTCTCTGGTCGATTGTTTGTTACTCCGGTATAATCTTCTAGACTATCAGTATATCAACGACCACTAATGTGGTTGAAGTCGAGTAATGCAACTTCGGTTGTAGGTTTTAATGCTCATCGACACCAACTAGACGGGATATCGATGTCATTGAGTAGCATACGTTTTACATGACGGAAATATTTGAAGCTTTTCCTCATTGTGATGTTGTGTTCGGGTCAGTGAGATGCAACAAGGCTTTCCAGGGTTCTGACTAGACCTGTTTGGTTTGCATCAGTGTGAGGATGTTGTGGTTGGCGAGCTTGAATGCGACACGTGGTTTTAGAATAGTTGTGTTCGAAAGCACACTTGTGGCCAGCTTTTTGAAGACAACCAATGAAGAATCGGGGTTTTCCAGCTACTCTAGGTGAACCCCATAGTACACCAGTCCGGTGATAAGCTCTCAATATTCCTATTGGCTCTTTATTTTTTAGAATACTACGTGGCGAATATAGGTGGATTAAGACAGAGGCTATGAACGTGTTACCATATGATAGTGTTTCGAAAACAAGGAATCTAAACACCCTCGTTTATACCATATCACTAATTACTAATCAGCAGATGGAAATGTTTTACTACATCACATTGCATCAATGCGTTTCTGTTATCTAAATAAACAGAAAAGTTTGGAGAGAAGTGCAGTGTTGCACTTCACAACAGCATCAGTCACTAATAAAAGAAAAAATTTAAGTTATTGTTATAAGTATAAAACTTGGGCATTATGGTAGAGAATAACTCCAGTATGGATAAGATTTTATTTTGATAAATCATACAATGCTTGTTATACAGTAATATTAACTGATGCGACCACGTTTCGAGCACAACCTATTGCCACTCATAATCATATCAAGACACTCACTCACACAACTGTGTTTCTTCACTTACATACATGTGTGGATTCGATTAGATAATGGATTAAAAAACCCATATGAGACTATGTACACTCAGAAATAATAATACGAGTATTATTGTCCAATTACAATTAGATGGGAAATAAGACGAGTGTTTTTACAGTCATAATAAGTTACTTGTTAAAATGTTGTGATGTATTTGAATTGAAATAGAATTTTAAGATTATTTATTATCCTCTTCTGATTCGACTGACCGGCGGTAATAATATCTTCCATATTTCTGGCATTTGCACTGAGTCATTTCTGTTGCATGTGTTGTGTTGTGTTGGGTGTAGACTCGATGGACAAGGATTCCGTAATCAACCTCTCTCTCCACCTACCTATATTACTTTTCGGAATTTAACCCTATCCCACCATGCTATTGTGTGGTTGTTTGTTATTGCGTAAAGTGCAATAGCTGAGCTGTTTTTCTAAATTACTTATCTTCTCGGGGTCAACCATTCTTACCTTAGCTAAATTCTTATCTTCTGATAATCTGACTACCCCTGACCTACTAGTTTGAGGGATCTAAGGGAACTAAGCTCTAGTGAGACAAAAGTACTTGAGAAAGGACTAAATTACAGTGTAACAGTGAGTAAATTAAAACCAGAAGATGTTATTCCTAACATAGAAATATCGCTAGCTTCAATAGATAAGACAACAGCAGAAGAGGTTCGAACACAATGTGCATTAACCCTTGAAAATCAAAAGAAGGCAAAAATAAACTTAACAAAATCGGAAAGAGAAGCTTTAATTAGTCTTAAACAGGATAAAAAAAATATTGTCATCGCAAAAGCTTACAAAGGAAACGTCACTGTAGTTTTGAATAAATCTGACTATATCAAAAAAGTTATTGAACGTATTCAAACGGGTCCATATGAAGAAATTAAGAAGCCTGTAGACACAATAATGAATAAGGTCAAGAAATCTACAGCGGAACTAATGCGCAGAATGAAGTCGTCACTGGGTGAGTCAAAATGGTTTAATTTAATGCCTAAAACTAATAATACTAGTAGAATATATGGTACTATTAAAATACATAAGCCAGGTTACCCCAAACGATCAATAGTAGATTTTAGAAATACCCCAACTTATGAATTATCAAAACACTCAGCTCTAATACTATGCCCCATTAGAAATCGTTCAAACTCTAGATTAACTAACTCATATGAAATGAAAAATAAACTAAATGACATTCAACTAGAGACTGATGAAACAATGGTTAGTTTTGATATAACTAGTCTTTATACAAATATACCAGTCAATATGGCCTTAGAAGCAGTTAAAAAAGAACTAACTACGGATCCTGAACTCAATCATAGGATAAAGCTGCCCATTAAAGGAATTATTTTAGGGATTCAGTTATGCCTCACATTTACTATCTTTAAATTCCAAGGCAAAATATATAGACAAACAGAAGGTGTAGCAATGGCATGGATCACCAATATCCCCCATCGTAGCAGACATATTTATGGGCAGCTGGGAAAATAGCGCGCTTAATACATTCAATCCTACTCCAAAAATATGGTGGAGATATGTGGACGACACTTTCACTCACAGTGTTAAAAACAGAACATATCTCTAGCTTCTTGACACACATAAACTCACTAGTGGGGGGAATAAAATTCACATTTGAAGCAGAAAATGAACAAGGAGAATTAGCTATGTTAGATTGTATGATAAAACGAATAGAAGAAGGTGAACTGCACACTAGTGTTTATGAAAACCCAACTCATTCTAATAGATATCTAAACTTTAATTCATCTCATCCGTTAACTGTTAAGACAAGCTTATTTAAGTGCATAAAAAACCGAGCAGCTGCACTAATTTGTACAAAAAAAAACCTAAATGGTGAGGTGAAACAGATAGAATGAGCGTTATTAACAAATAACTATCGTATAAAACTCATTAAGAAGATCAGTAAAGGCCAAAAGCGAAATAAAAATAATTGTGAAACTATTAATGAAAACATAAATAAGAGTGAATATAAGGCATCTACAGTTATACCATATAAAGAGGGGACATCGGAGACCCTACATAGGATTCTAAATAAAGCAGGAATTAGGGTGGCATTCAAACCTAAAAACTCACTCAGGGACAAGCACTGTAAGTTAAACGACACTGTCGGTTGACCCAATTAGACAAAATAATATAATTTACAAAATACCCTCCAATGACTGTGAGTTAAGTCAACTACATGGGTCAAACGTGTGGGTCAGGGGTAGTCAGATTATCAGAAGATAAGAATTTAGCTAAGGTAAGAATGGTTGACCCCGAGAAGATAAGTAATTTAGAAAAACAGCTCAGCTATTGCACTTTACGCAATAACAAACAACCACACAATAGCATGGTGGGATAGGGTTAAAATTCCGAAAAGTAATATAGGTAGGTGGAGAGAGAGGTTGATTACGGAATCCTTGTCCATCGAGTCTACACCCAACACAACACAACACATGCAACAGAAATGACTCAGTGCAAATGCCAGAAATATGGAAGATATTATTACCGCCGGTCAGTCGAATCAGAAGAGGATAATAAATAATCTTAAAATTCTATTTCAATTCAAATACATCACAACATTTTAACAAGTAACTTATTATGACTGTAAAAACACTCGTATTATTTGTGGTCTTTACAGTAAAGGCCAGTTATTCGGCGGATACATTTTTAACATAGAATAACAGATTAGTGATGGGGTGTCAAAATAAATACTCATATTTTTTTATAACATTTAGTTAGTCATATTTGTGTGACAAATGTGCTAGCCTGAAATCGATTAGAAAATATTGTAAAACGGTAGACACTGGTGGTGATTAATGATTATTGATTTTTAGAATGTGGGGTAGGAAAATTGACAAGTCAGTTCAAGGTTATTGAAGGGGTCAGGTGAGTGGCTAGTACAAAGTGCTCTGAGTTAAACAGGAGATAGTAAGACTGCAATGAGAGGTTCATAATGAGATAACGAATATGTTAAATGGAACAGTTGGAGGCACATATTAAGAAAACAGATAATATCACTAATAATAAGTCCGTATAAATGAAAAATTCGATAGTATTGAGGGAATGTTTGCATAAAGGGCATAAATTATGACGAATAATAATAATAACTGTAATAATAATATTTATAATAATGAGCAAAGTAAAAAAAAGAAAAAAAATCGAGAGGGTTCAGGGGAAGGAGCACTCCTGGTGAGAAGAAAAATCTTCAATCCAAGGTTGGCCACGGTAAGAACAGCGTCTGGACGTGTTCTTTGTGGATACAAAGTTCCGGTTTAGTCTGTCTTATCGCAACAGCTTCAGCTATGTGTAGGAGACGTAAGCGAACTGTACGTGATAACGACTTCGGGATTCGGTATATAGCCCTGTAAGCTGTGTTGACATCGATGCGATGTCCAGCATCGACCAAGTGTGACAGGATCTAGCTTTTTATGCACTTAATTTCCTCCCTGCTGAACCAAGCTGGTAAGTGTTCTCGAACCCGTAAACGAACCTGCTTAATCGTGCGCACCATTGTCCCCCGTTTTACAATATTTTCTAATCGATTTCAGCCTAGCACGTTTGTCACACAAATATGACTACTTATTTTGACACCCCATAACTAATCTGTTATTCTATGTTAAAAATGTATCCGCCGCATAACTGGCCTTCATTGTAACGACCACAAATATTATATTTTATAACTGTAAGAACCTGAAGAGAAACTCGTATTATTATTTCTGAATGTACATTATCTCGTATTGGTTTTTTAATCCATTATCTAATCGATTCCACACATGTATGTAAGTGAAGAAACACAGTTGTGTGAGTGAGTGTCTTGATATGATTATGAGTGGCAATAGGTTGTGCTCGAAACGTGGTCGCTGTGTCATTACTGTAACTGTTGGTGTGTCTCTTCTGGCTTTACAGTATCGTATTTTGTAATGATTTATCAGAATGAGCTTTAATACTCTTTCGAGTGTGTTCACCTAATCTAGTTTATTGTAAATTTCATGTTAAAAATCGAGTTGTCTGCTGAGTTACTTATAATTATGAACGTTTTAATTCTTTGTAAATTGTGATTGAATTGTTTCAGCTGAAGCACACCGTGAAAGTTCGTCTGCAGTGAGAAGAAATAAACGTGGTAGGCCTTCTCGACGTCTCCATAGTAGTTGTGGAAAGCGAAGAAGACTATCGTCATCTAGAGCATCCAGGTTACAGCCTACGACTGCCTCTGTGAGTAAATATTTATTAGTTCTTTTAAGATTTGATATACAGTATGCTAAGCGTAAATGAGGACTGAGCTTGTTTCTGTTGTCGAGCAATCTGACTTCTTCTGATCTACTATTTTGAATCACATATATGCGTATCCCAGCTGACAATGATCACATGTTATTCTACTAATCTGTTGAAAATTATACTCGAGTCTTTTGAAGTACTCTACCTCATATGGAAATATTATAGATGTTTTAAATTCCTTTTGTTGCCATTACTGTGTGGACTTTTCGTAGCCCAGCTGTTTCTGAACCCTATCCAAGTGAGAAATCTAGAGTTTGGCTGTGCTACAGCATTACTATGTGATCATACAGAATCACAAAGTGATGGCTATAAATGCCTGTTTAGAAGAGAGGAAGGAGCTTTTAATGATATCGCTTGTTTTATTTATCGAATCAACTGATGGAGAATACGCTGAAAGTGACTTCGTAAAATGCTCTATTTGGACATGTGAAAAGTCTCACCGCTAGTGTGGTGGTACAGGGGAGACCCTGAATTCCAAGAATAGGTCCGAAGCAGGTATAGTTATATTTGTAATATTACTGTGAACGATATATATTATGTGTTTTAGAGGTTATGCGCTTAAATGACGCTGTTTCATGATGCAATGTATATTGAGTGTTGAAGACAAGAGACTTGGTAAGGGAATGTTTATTAGGAATTTGGTGTGTCTATATCTCTCTGGATTCAACATAGAACTTGACACCGAAGTGCAGCAGTTCGAGTTGCCACGTTCCAATTGGCACACAAGGTAGACAAGAAGATGAGTGAAGAGAATCAATAGACAAATATAAGAGTGTGTCTATATAGTGAAATTATGTACATCTTATCTGCAAACGGTGATTCGCACAGATCTTTGTTGTGATACTTCTGTCCCACTTCGTATTGTGCTTTTTGTCTTCTTTTCGTGTCTCGCATGTTTTGTCGCGACACTGATGTCAGCTCTCTCTCTCTCTCCACTATTCGATATTTTAAGTCGGTGAACGTCTCTCTATATACTACTGGCAAATCTCATCAGCAGGACACGCCACATTCTTAAGTCCCATCCAACCACAGAACGTGAATGCAGACTTCCTCAACGACTTTGTATTCAGTCTGTTAACTAAGAGGTATTTTACACTTTCCGCTAACTTCATGATCAGGTTCTACGGTTATATACCCAAGATAATGAGAGAATGATTGTTATTGGCAACATGAGTGTTTTTTTAAGGGTGACAAGGAATCATTAAAGTCAGAATCGTAAACGTTATGTGCAAATAGATTGTCATGAAAGATTATAGTGCAATATATGTGTATGTGGTAATGGGTATAATTGTAAGACTGAAGGCAACACCAATATCACGAAGTAAATGATTATGAATGACAAGGAAAATACACATATATGTATAGTAGTGAGTTGTCATGAGTCATGTTCATATTAAATTCTACTCACATTAATTATAAACTTGAGATGGGAGAATGATCATTGTTGGGGACGGTGGAGGTGTGGGTGAGATAAGAAATTTGGGATAGAAGGTTATGTGCGTTGTGTGTGTTGGTGTGTGCCAGTGTGTTAGTTAACCACTACGTTTAAATAAGAAATCAATAGGTTATTTAATGCATGTACAATAACGAGCGGTAGGGGAATTTAAATGTACAGGATGGAGGGCTATATCAAAACAGGTCTATGCAATAAGATATTTGGGAATTCTCAGAGTCCACAGCAGATCAGGGCAGTGGCAGTGGTTAGACCTGTTTCTTCTTCCGACAGAGCACCTGTTGTTTTAGGCGTATTGCAGTCGCCTCTGTTATTTCGAGTATTCGGTACGTGGATGGTTTCGGAGATTTATTTGGTACCTGATAGGTGATAGAGAAAGATTCTTCAATGCTAGCCGGCGTTGTGGCCAGTGTGGACCAGGTGGTCTAATATCGAACTGTTGATGGTTTTCGCTACACTCTTATCCAGCCGCGCTGGTAGGTGTTTGCGAGCATGAGAAATCAAGTTCCTAATCCTACGGCCAATATAACTCGCTGCACTAGCACGGCAGTTGAATTGGTAGATACAAGAAGAGGTACCTAGCTAGTAGCTAGTCAAGGTACTTCATCTTTCAATTGAGGAATCACAACCAGTCGTGCAGAAAGTATGACTTGTAGTTTACCAGCATCAAAATTCTTTGATGAATGGATTTTCTTAACTTATTAGTAATTATTTCACTAGATGCGTGACACTCTTGAATTGCAGTCGTTTTCATAAAGGCTTCTCATTTACGGATAGAGAATAGTCCTTTTCTCCTTACTTTCTTGGTCATGTGTGTCGGCAAGGTTGAATTATCGTGGCCGAAACCCAGTGACCTTGAACAACCAATCAGAATTCCGATGCAAATAGCAGCATAATCGTTGGAAAATACACTAAAAATTATTGCAAAGTCGATATAGCACTGTATAGTTGAAGCTCATGTGTTATGCGAATGTCTTCCAGTCAATACACAGACGATCATCTATAGAGAAATCGTATCGTGCGCGATATATCCATTCATCCAGGTGACTGCAGGTCATGATACTTCGAGATCCATTGATATTTCTGACACTATTCTCCAACCTGCTCCTAACTTTAACCCTAAACGTAACTGATATGTATCCACATATATATATTTATGTGTGTGTGCATGTTGGTCTCTGTTTCTGTTTGCTCGGTTAGTCTGTGACCACTTCACTTGTACGAACTTGTCTCCTTTAATAATGTGTATTCTCCTTATATTATATTATATATAATATGAGTTTTTGTTGACAGTCCGTTGCTTGGTGACATATATCCATATATGTTTGTTGGCATGTCTGCTATATTCGCTATGTATAATTGGATCGACACTCCATTATAATTAGCCATTCATGTTAAGACTGTCTAATGATTTTTCCCACGCTTGTCTGAATTATTTATATATATTCGCATTTACAATTTGTGTGAACTACTTTACTTTACAACTACTTGACTTGCTTACCACTTTGGTGTGAGACCATTTATTTTCGTCTCCTTGTATTTGGACAATAGAAGTATCATCGCAAACCTAGTGGTCTTCTGATTTCCGCCTTCTCGCGTCAGGACTATTAGTTTCTCGACCAGTCCATAACAATAATTCAGCGACGAGTACATAACAGTAACCTTAACCGCAGATTGTGAACATTAATCGTAAACTTTTCAATAGTTGGTTTGTAATGAAACTTATATACCATGGACTATTAATACATTTCTATATCACACTTTATCTTATATCGTGAATCAGTGCGCATTTTATGTATGTTCATGTGAGAATATTAAATAATGTATGTGTAAAACTTGGGCATTGTGGTAGTGAGTAATTCCACATCAGCTTGTTTATTAGATGTATCACACAGTGAAACAGTATTAGTATTTACTGGATGACACAGTTTCGAACAAAATTTATTGAGGTTCATAATCATATCAATTATAACCACACGACTTCAAAAATTGAGTTTTATAGTCTTCTTTGTTCTCTCCTATTTGTCATTGTTGGGGTAGTAGAATTTTCCAGATATCTGGGACAGGTGTTGAATCCCTCCTGTTACACGTGTTTGCAGTTGATTCGATCAACAAAGCTTCCGTTGTTATCAATCTCTCCCTCCACCCTGTTACATTAGATTTAAAAACGGTCATCTTATCCCATCCAGCCTATAGTATGGTTGTGTGTAATTGCATGTAGTGCTATGGCTGAACTATTCTCTAGATTTCTTATCTTATTCGGGTCAACTATTCTAGATTCCGTTAGGTTGTCAGGCTTCGCTAGTCTGACTGAACCTGTTTTACTACTCTAACCTGACAAATATTGCAGGGAATTAGATAAACTAAATTTTTTTCACAGGTTCCACAGGGTCCTTCCACCCACAAAACTTGTTTCTGATTGAGTTTATGGGTTTGAATGCCAGCCACTTATATTGCTGCACTGTTAAGAATTCTGCGAAACGTGATTTCCGAAGTTCTTTCTTTGTATGGAAGTACCGCTGATGATTTATATTTCCTATTGTTGGTGTTGTCACTAGCCTGCACATGTTTGACATGCACGTCGTCATTAATATTATTATTATTATTACCACTATCACTACTGTCATTATTTATTTTTACATTTATATAAGAATAAAACTTGTGCGCTGTGGTAGAGTGTTTGTTATTCCAGTATAAGTAAATTTTGTTTTGATAAAGTCTCACAGTGTTATGCAGTAGTGTTTACTGATGACCACGTTTCGAGCACAATTTATTGCCACTCATAATCATATGAAGGCACTACTCACACAACTTCCTAACTTCATTTATATAGTTCCATTATTTTTCGCTTGATTTGTTTGGTAGTAGTATTTTCCATATTTCGGGTATGAGTGATGAGTCATTCCTATTGCATGTGTTCGCTGTGGACTCGATGAACAAGGATTCAGTAATCAACCTCTCTCTCTCCACCTACCTATATTACTTTTCGGAATTTTAACCCTCTCCCACCCACCATGTTGTGTTGTTGTGTGTTAATGCATGCATTGCAATCGCTGAACTTGTTTCTAAATTACTTATCTTCTCGGGGTCAACCATTCTTACCTTAGCTAAATTCTTATGTTCTGATAATCTGACTACCCCTGACCCGCACGTTTGACCCATGTAGTTGACTTAACTCACAGTCATTGGAGGGTATTTTGTAAATTATATTATTTTGTCTAATTGGGTCAACCGGCAGTGACCTTTAACCTGCAGAGCTTGTCCGTGAGTGAGTTTTTAGGTTTGAATGCCACCCTAATTCCTGCTTTATTTAGAATCCTACGTACCCTCTTTATATGGTAAAACTGTAGATGACTTTGAATAACTATCCTATAAAATTCATTAGGAAGATCATTAAGAGCCAAAAACAAAATAAAAATAATTGTGAAACTAGTAATAATAACATAAATAAGAGAGAATATAAGTCATTCAGATTCGTTGACCC